AAAACCCAAGTTTCAACCCAAAAATACAAAGTTTTTATAGCCCAAAAACAGTTGGAAAAGTACAAGAAAAGGAGTAGATAAAGCAAGCAAAGAGGCAAAGCCTTATACTTCTTGAAAAGGAAATCAATTCCAAGCAATAAAACCAAGCACACACACCCGCGAGAGCTCAAACAAAGCTCAAAGAGACCTCAACTCAAGTATGGAGAGGTTTGGTTAAGAGTGTATAGACAAAGGTTAAGGATATGTAGGCAAGATAGTAGAAATTTGGAAAAGAAAGAAAGCAAAAGAGAGAGAGAGAGAGAGAGAGAGAGGGAGGAAAAAAATTTCTCTAAACTTTTTCTAACCTTAAAACATAAGAGGGAGGCCTTCTATATATAGAAAACATAAATTTTTCTCACTAACATCCAGCCATACACGTGAGAGCAGATGCAAGCATCTGTGCAAACAGCTGGCACAAAATATCTGCAAAAGACACTGGTGGCCGGCAGGCCACATCAGTGGCCAGCAACCAAGAGTGATAGCCAGCAGCCTAAAGAGGTGACCGGCAGGCCACTAGAGGCTGCAGGCTTGAAGAACACTAGGTTTGGTCCAAAAATGAGGTAACAGGTGTGCAAGGTTTAAAAGGCTCAAAGCTGTGGCATTTCGTTGAGGACTTTAAGCACTTGAAAAGCATATAGACTCATTATTGGATGTGCATGTGATAATGTCCAAGTTGTAAGGGTCGTCAAAAATAGGGTGTCTACAGTTGCCCCTCTTTGACAGAACTCGGAGTCATGAAATGACATAAGTGAATGTCAAAGCCCGAAGACAACCCATTTTGACAAGGCCGTAAGACTTGGAGAAACAATCAAGGCAGAAAAAAATGGTTGCGCCCACAGGCTACCTACGTATCCCTTTGCAAGGAATCAAACCAGCGTAGTTCTGGGGCAAGATGCAAATGATATGCACAAAGATACTTTGAAGCTAGACTTACACGCTTCGCGAAGCTGGCTATTTTGAAAACTCATGATCATGCGAGATGATGCAATTAGCAATAATAAAGGCAATAAGAAAGATAACGAGATAATAAAATGTGAATGAGTAGCTTTAAACTTAAAACCAACACAGGTTCCACTCAAAAAGATAAAATAACACTCTAACCACGCCAAAACAAGAGACGAAGAAAGAAAATACAGCTCAGGGTTGCGTTTCACGCATCCTGAGAAACTAAGAACAAAAACTGCTTGGAGTTGTGTTTCACACATCCCGAGAAACTGAAGAACGAAAACCGCCCAACTGCTCAAGGTCGTATTTCACGCATCTTGAGAAACAAGAAAGACCGCTCGGGTTCGTGCTTTGCGCGTCCTGAGAAACAAGAGAACCCGCTCGGGCTCGCGCTTCATGCATTCCAAAAAATAAGAAAAACCACTCGGGCTCATGCTTTACGCGTCCCGAGAAACAAGAAAGGTCGCTCGGGCTCGCGCTTCGCATGTCCCGAGATAAAACACGCCCAGAGCCAGGTGTCACGTGTCTTTAGATAAGGAAAAACCGCTCAGGATCACGCTTTGCGTATCCCAAGAAACAAGAAAAATGGCTCAAGCTTGCGCTTCACACATCCCGAGATAAAACACGCCTAGGGCCGTGCGTCACATGTCCTGAAATAAGGGAAAACCGCTCAGGGTCACGCTTCATGCATCCTGAGAAACAAGAAAAATCGCTCGGGCTCGCGTTTTGCACATCCCGAGATAAAACACGCCCAGACCGCACATCACGCGTCTTAAGATAAGGGGAAACCGCTCGAGGTCATGCTTCACACGTCCCGAGAAACAAGAAAAATTACTCGGGCTCGCGCTTCGCACATCCCGAGATAAAACACATCCAGGATCGCACGTCACGCGTCCTAAGATACAACAAAAAGGTGTGCGATATATGCACAAAATGAACGTGTGCGATAAATGCACAAAAGTGAACGCGTGCGATAGATGCACAAAGTGAACAAGTCAATTCAGTAATAACGCATATTCTACACATGAAATAAGAACAAGAGCATATTTTATGCAATCAGCAAATAGATATTCCACGCATGAAATATAAATGATGCGAGACATGCATGCAATGACAAACATGCAACATACATATGTGTGATGCACATTCTATGCAACGGAAAAGAACAAAAGCATAAATCGAATAAAACAATACTCGGTGGCACTTCTGAGTTACCTCTCGTAGGAATTGCAATATGTTAAAAAGGATACACCTCGTTCATGTTGACAAGTGATGAACATTGTGCGCCAAAACACAATTTTGAGCTCCCTTCGAAACAGTCTAGACCCAACAATGAACCTTCCTTACACTTCGTGGGAAACAAAGACAAAAAACAGCATCAGGACTCAGAGGAAGGCCATCAGCCACTTGCTAACCACAGTGGGAGGCAACCGGCCACCTGCAAGCCACAAATTTCAGTTCGGGGCTTTTTGGTCTTTTTGCACACGGGTCTTTAAGTATAAGCCTCCAGGCTTCATTTCCTCACAACCCTAGGTCCGAAAATTTTCTCCCTCTCTCTCTAGACACTTTCCCTCTCTAGATCTAAGCTTTACACACGTTTTTCAACGCCCCACGCGAACTTTATTCGTTAAACCCTCTTGTTCTCTTCCTTTTGAACTGATCAAAATTTGTTTTCGATGCTTTTTTCCTTATTTTCACAACTTTAGGCTTATTCCCCTTGTGTTTCTCTCAAGTTTTGTGAACTTTTCCAGTCTTTGACTCTTTCTCTCATTTTTCTCTCTCCTAGGGTTGACTTTTTCCAAGTTTACCCTCTTTTCTTCATTTCCTTCACTTTTCACCTACTTTTCACCCATTTTCCAGATGGCAGATGAGATTCCACATGACGGGGCTCCTCCAGAGGTTCCCCTCATATTCCCACCCATTGCCGGGGTATTGGGGCTGATAGTTGTCGAGGCTGATGAGGCGACTGAGGGCATTAAAGCTGACTTCGAGGCGAAGTTTGAGTCTGAGCTTTAACCGGAGCCGCTACCATTGAGGGTACAGCCTTTTGATCCAGTGAGATACCATCCCCACATGCATATCTTGCCACCCAGAGGCATTAGGCACGTTCAGCGACTTTGCTCACAGTGCACCAAAGGACCTCTTGCTGAGAGAACCGGCCTCTCACCTTTCATCCAGCGCCGCTGAGGTATAAATTCTATTTTCATGCATTCTTATCTGTCTTTTAACTGCATTTCTTGCACTGCCTTTCATCTGACTGTACTTTCATCACTGCCTTATCTGATTCATCTATTTTTTTCCATAGGAAGAGTCTCGTGCTTATAGAGGGTACGGAGCTACGACTGCGAGAGATTGGTACGACGAGCTCCTTGCAGGAGTTCGTAACATTGTTAATGAGATTAGCTTTGGCATTTTCTGCTCTGGCCTGACACGGGTTATTGCGAGCCGTCCTCTTCTCGAAGCATTAGTGGAGAGGTGGTGGGACACTACCAACTCCTTCCACTTCTTTACTACCGAGGAGATGACGATGACTCCTTACGACTTTGCCATGCTCACGGGCTTAGGAATAGGGAGCGATCTGATCCCTTTTGACACCGACATAGGGGAGTAGGAGGCCGCTAGGATTGAGTTGTTAAGAGCACGTCCGCCCTTGTACCGATCAACTATGGTCAGATATAGTTGGTTCGCTGAGCAGTTCCGAGGGAGCGAGCCAGAGACATTAGAGGAGATGGAGCAGTACGCCAAAGGCTTCCTGATGTTTGTCCTCGGTACCACCTGGTTTTCGAACAGGTGGAACACCATGGGCTTATATTTGTTGAGCGCCCTGGTGACCCTTCTCCAGGTACACTTCTATGACTGGGGCGGAGCTAGCCTCGCCACCTTGTACGAATATATGAGCTCTACCTCCCACTTGAGGATAGAGTTGATCGAAGGCTACTGGCGAGCCTGAGAGGTATGCATTTCAGCTCCCTCTTTGCACTTTACATTTTCTGCTTCTCATTTTCTACTTTATATCTGTTCAATACCTGTGCTTTCTGCTTTGCACTTTCTGCATCTATTGATGCATTATGCTTTCTACTTTGCACTTTCTGCATCGGTTCATGCTGCATTGATCACATATTACTGCACTTTCCTTGCAGATGTAGGTTTATGCATATTTACCAGCTCTTGCCCTGAAGCCCATGGTGGAGCTCCCCCCGATGGTCCCTTACTTGAAGCGGTATGATGGCAGATGTCAGCGCAGGAGCCGCGAGTCTTTCGCACTCTTTCGCCACTACTTTGACACTGTGGCCACCCACGAGGTAACCCAAAATACAGTCATTTTTTCTATACAACTGTTCTAATTCACATTTTAGCAATTGACAGCAACTAACAATCTGTACACTCTCTATTTACAGATCATGAGGCAGTCTTGGGCTATGATGTCTGCTGGGGTACGGGACAGTACGCAGGGGCTTGGGCCATATCTCGTTACTTGAGGGTCCAGTCTACTGAGCTTGGTTCTTGAGTGAGCGATTCATCCGCCAGACCATGGGCTTGCCAGATCCGATTGTTCTGATGCCACCTCTAGAGTCTATGAGATCAGTGGACAGTCTATCTATTGATGTAGTCACTTAGTTCATGGTGGGCTTGGATGCTGATTACTTCAGGGCAGATGGCGACTACCCGACCTTTATTCAAACACACCTCATGCCATCTCTGATAGGCGTTCATGGAGGCGAGGGGGCGAGGGCTCCTGCAGCGAGAGAGGCGACTAAAGCGGCCAGGGCCCGCGCTAGAGGGGGTCCTCCTGCAGAGCAGAGCACCTGTTGGCCAGAGCTTCCCACCGCGCTCACATGTTGGCAGCATACTGAGGAGCTTACCAGATCCCGATTGAGCATGCAGCGACTGGGCATGAGCTTGTCGGAGTTCGGGGTTCGTCTCAGGTATGGACTATACTTTGCGATTTGCATCCCTTCATTTCATTTCAAATATGTTTATTGCAAACACTGATCATCCAAATGCATTTGCAGGCATCCATAGAGTACACGGGGAGTGCTCTCGAGCTGATAGCCTCCTTGATGGGTATGGTACAGAGAAGGGAGACGCTGTTCCGTCTCTATGGTATCCAGGTAATTTCCTTCAGTTTACACTTCATGCTATCATCTTTCCACCAATACATTGACATTTCAGCTGTAATCTTTCCCAAACTACACCGATACACTGGATTGGCACACTACATTCACACACTGTACTCATACTGTATCTGATTTCTACATACCACTTATTCTGTGTACTATGCTTGTATATACACACTGTAACTAATATGTTAACAATTGTCTTTTTTAGATCCCATCCGTACTGATGGCTCCAGCGGCAGCAGCAACACTAACACCAGTAGTAACAGTACCTCCTCCAACAGCAGGGAGGAAAGAGAGGGATAGGGGCACTCGAGGCCAGAGCAGTCCTCAAGAACCCATCTTGAGCGTTGATAACGCTAAGACTAGTGACTCTGAGGAGGCAGCGAGTCATCTGAGAATAGAGACGACGATACTGGCTCAGGTTCCTAGAGTGGAGGTAACAATGCCAAGGTGGGTTCTGGAGCAGAGAGCGGTGACGATACCGGCTCTAATTCAGGGTCTGATTCCGACAACAGCGCTTATGGAGATAGTACCCCTCAGTCCTCTTCTCCGAGGAAGATGACGAAGAGGGCCTCTCGGGTCTGAGGCGACTGGCGCTGATTTTTGATTTTTTGCTTAGTTTCTTTGTGTTTAGTTGCATTAACAGATGTATAACTTCAGATAGGTTTTTTTTTTCTTGAAAACTTGTACTTCTCTTTTGTAAAAACCATAATCGGAATAAAACCTCGTAGTTTTTTTTTATAGAAAATGTTGTCATTTTTGCATCATGAGCACCAAATTTGCATGAAATAGACGTGGAATTGAATTGGCCAAGAGCACTTGATTGAAACAGTGTTCTTAATCGGGTAATGAGCCGACCAACAAACGAAATACAAAATACAACTCGATAAACAAAGCAAAAATAACTCAAATACAAATAAACAAACTTGTTAAAACCAAAAAGACTCAAAACAAGACCTTAGAACACTCAAAGATTAAGACAAAACACATGTTTCCAGCACTGTTCAACACATAGGTGGCTAGCAGGCCTGAAAAGAAGGCTGCCGGCTAGAGATAGAGCTTATCGGCCATAGAAGGTGGGTTGCCGGCCATAAAAGTAGCCTGCCAGCCACCAATGTGGCATGCCAGCCACCTACCAGCCACAAATATGAGAATTGCCGAATTATTGATAGCTAGCTTTCACTCATAGCCTTATCTTCTACAAAAAGGTTTAGCTTCGTGATTTATCTTCAAAGCCTTATTTCAGCTATAATTTCTTTCACAAATGGAGCCATTTTTTGTTGAAAAGTTCTCGGATTGGATATCGACTTTAGACGGCATGGAAAAGGTAAACTTCCGGAGTTTCGGCATAAATGCACTATTTCCGTTGAGTCGTTCTCCACTTTGTTTTCCATTCCATCATGCTGCAATTCGATGCTGGGACACAATTACATACGTCTTTTGCTTCAGAGGACAAGAAATATGCCCGACAATTGAAGAATTTCAAGCACTAATGGAATATCGACATGATGAGGAAATCATGCCTCTGCCCTATTTTGGCCACGCCTAAGCTTTGGGACGGATGTGTGGGCTTACTCTGCACGAGGCTCGATCTTTGGCCTACAATGGAGAGCTAGACATTCCTAGCTTGATTCATCGATTTTTCGACGTTGGTGACAGAGGTGGCCTTCTCTGGCAAGGTTTTCGGTAACATGCCCTCTGCTTATGTATGCTTGCTCATTTCTTTCTTGCCCCTAGCTTTGGCAGGTCCAACATTCGGTTGATCGAAGTGGCCCAAGGTTTGAAAAAAGGCAAGAGTTGCATTGGTTTGGCACTGGCCGAGACTTTGATGGGCTTAAATGCCTTTCATCGGTAAGAGACTACTAGATTCGCGAGGAACCCACTACTTCTTCAGGTATTGTTTCCTACATTTTCCCATATTTGTTTCTCACATCACTCGGCACTCATGCTCTATTTTTCTCTCAAAACCCTTTTCTCACTTTTCTCTCAACACACATCTCTATATTCTTTAATCTCTCTTTTCTTTTATCTCTCCCCAAGTGTGGCTTATGGATAAGTTGAAAGTAGCGGACTCTTGCCCTGAGTACTCAGCTCGAGGCTATTTCTTCAACTACCGACTAGTGGATTTCCCGAATGAGAGATGGTGGTGCAACTGGATGTGTAACAGGTCTGCTTCTAATATAGCTTGGCATTGCCCCTGGCTCAACCTGACTGAGATGAGTTACAGCATGGCTTGGCAACCTGGCATACAGTTGATCGGCTTCACGCACTGTGTGTTCTACTTCCCTTTTCGGTTCAAACGTTAGTTTGGGCATGATCAGACCTACCCAGAGAAAAGGGTAGAGTACCCGGTTTCATTCCCCATTTGTGGTTCACACTTGGCTAGGTACCTCACTGCTTGGAGGATAAGAGAGCTTCTGGCCCCTGCCCTTAGTTTCAGTTACACCCTTTCTGGCGAACACTTGGTTTGGCTCGAGGATGAGGCACAAACCGGGCCCACTTTGGCTTCAGAAGCTTCTACATGCACAAGTAGGGGACACAGGAGCACCTGACTCACCTATGCCCCTAGTTTATTGCTTTGACCTTTCTTTTCATGTTTTTTGAATGTAATAAAAGCAACTTCGATTTGTATTAGAGAGTTGGAGAACTTTTATGTTGAAATCAATGAAATTAAAGTTGTGAGCACGGAAAATTTTCTTTTTGGTCCAAAAATGGCCAAAGTTGTAAAAGGTAAAATTTGAACAAAATCAGCTTTTATTAAAATGTTCCAAAACCATTTTTGAAAAGGATCACCACCTGACACGCACGAAATCAATCCTCAAGATGTACAGCCCCAAATCAAAAGATCAGAAATGCCCTTGATTGAACACCACTGCTCTGCACTGTAACTAGCTCTTTTCACAGAGTGAAGGCACAACCGAACTCTCAAGTAAATGACAGACAAAAATGACCTGATCAGACACATGGACAGGATAGTTAAGTTGGAAGTGATTACAGCTGAACTTCAGGATGAAGTTACCTACGTATCCCAAAGATGGGAATCAGGCCTTACGCAGTTCGGTTCATGTTCACCCAAGTATTAACTCTCTCCTTTTGCGCTCTAACTTTTGCCAAAGTTCCCCTTTAGGGTTTTCAACCTTGCGAGCTCAGTTTTTCTTTGTTTCTAATTTTTCATGCTCTAACTTTTGCCTAGGTCGCCCTTCCGGGTTTTCAACCTAGCAAGCCTCTCAGGGATAGTATTTCTTTAACTTGTCCATGTTGATTGGTTGTGAAAATTCTAGGCCATCTAAGTCCATAAAAATAACAGCTCCACCCGACCAGATAGTTTTGATAATGTAAGGACCAGTCCAATTGGGTCTGAACTTGCCCCTAAGGTTATAAATGGGAGCTCAGTTGTCTTTTAGTACCATATCTTCCTCATTGAGATTCCGGAACTTAACCTTCTTGTTAAAATCCCTAACAATTCTACGTTGGTAGCCTTGAACGTGATACAATGTTTTCAACCTTCTCTCATTAAACAACATCAGCTCCTCAAATTTGCTCTGTTGCCAGTTCACCTCTGCTATCTGACACTCAGCTATAACTCGCAGCGGCAAAACTTCTATTTCAATTGGCAGAATAACTTCCATCCCATAGACGAGAGAATAAGGAGTTGCCCCTGTAGACGTCAGGATTGAAGTTCTATAGCCCCAGAATGCGAATGGCAATTTATCTGGCCAGTCCCTGTAGGTCTCAACTGTCTTCTGCAAGATGTTCTTGATGTTCTTGTTGGCAGCTTCAACAGCTCTGTTGGTTTGCGGCCTATACGTAGATGACTTATGAAAAGCCACATTATATTTGTCCAACAAGTCTATCACCTCTTTCTTAAAGTGGGAGCCATTATCCGATATGATCTCGTTTGGGACTCCACATCGACAAATGATATTGTTTCTGATGAACTTGGCCACATGCGATGCTTTCAACACTGCATAGGACTGAGCTTCCACCTACTTTTTAAATTAATCAATTGCCACCAACATGTATTCATGCCCATTTGACCCTTTTGGTGTGACTGCACCGATAACATCGATTTCCCAAACTGAGAAAGGCCATGGCGAAGTCATGTTGTACAATTTTGATGGCAGGATGTTCATGCGATTAACATGAATTTGGCATTTGTGGCATCGCCAAACAAAACCAATACAATTCTCCTCCATAGTGGACTAGTAGTAACCTTGCCTGAGAATCTTTCGGGCCAACATCACTTCATTCATGTGCACTCTGCACTCTCCTCCACGGATGGCCTTCATCAAACGCTTTGATTCCTCTTATTCGATACACAACTTGTGCACTCCCAGATGACCTCTTTTATACAATTTACCTCTGCAAATGATAAATTGGATGGCCATTCGCCGTATTTCCCTTTTGTCCTTGGCATTTGCCCTTGGTGGATAAATCTCCTTTTCTAAGAAGTTCCAAATATCATAGTACCAAGGGTTTCTGTCTTGTGCTTCATCTATTGCGATGATAATTTCATAGGCCGACATGTACCTCTACTCAATAATAATCGGACGCATTTGGACTTCAAGTGGAATGTCTACCATAGAAGATAGAGTTGCTAAAGCATCAGCGAACCTGTTGTTCTCTCTTAGTAGATGCGTGAAAGTCAACTTTTCAAACCTAGGGATCTGAACATCCAGGGTCTGGTGATAAGCCTTTATCTTTTCTTCTTTGACTTTCTAGTCTCCATTTGCTTGAGAAACAACTAAGTTTGAGTCCCCGATATGATCCAACCTTTTTGTCCCTAGTTCCGGGCTACTTCCAAACCAGCGATAGATGCCTCATATTCTGCTTCGTTATTGGACACCTTAAACCTGAGTTTGAAGGCTAAAGGTATATGGGAGTTGTCGAGTGCTATCAATAACACACCTATTCCATAACCGTATTGATTGGACGCTCCGTCAAAGTACATCGTCCAAGTTTCCTCCTCGACTTGCAGAATGGCTTCATCTGGGAATAGGTATTCCACCGCTTCATCCTCTTCTACTGGGTGGTCTGCCAGGAACTCCGCTACAACTCTTCCCTTGATCGACTTGAGGGTGACATATTTGAGATCAAATTCGAAGAGAAGACGCAACCAACGGGCTAGCCTACCCGTAAACGCTGGTTTCTCAAAGAGCTATTTGATGGGATCTAATCTCAAAACCAGGATTACAGAGTGAGCTAATAAGTAGTGCCTCAACTTCCTGGTAGCCCATACCAAGGCTAGGCAAGCTTTCTCTAACAGAGTATAGCGGGTCTCGTAATCCAGCATTTTCTTGCTAAGTAGTAGATGGCTTTCTCCACCCTATCCTCAGATTCCTAAGTAAGCATGCATCCCATAGTCGTGTCTCTCACTAACAAGTACATAATCAAAGGCTTTCCTGGCTCTAGCAGCGATAACACAGGTGGATTCTGGAGGTACTATTTAATCTGCTCAAAGGCGAATTGACATCGATCATCCCATCAGAATTTATTCCCTTTCTTCAGGAGACCAAATAGTGGTTCACAAGTCAATGTTAGTCTGGAAATAAACCGTCTTATGAATTGCACTTTTCCCAGAAAGCCTTGCACCTCCTTTTCAGTCCTTGGCGGTGGCATTTCTAGGATGGCCTTGATTTTGGAATGATCTACTTC